TTCGATTTCGTCCTTACCCCCCCAACCAAAAATTTGATTTTTTTCGTTTTTTTTTGCCTGATGGGGTGGGGCTGGGGTTGTGCCGCCACGTGGCGCTTCCCGATTTCTCAACCTTCCTCCCCAGCAGCCGCCACGTGTCCGCGAAGACGCGCGTCCGCGCGGACGCGTCCGCGGGCTTCGCGGCCTGACCGCGGCCGCGGACTTGGCTGCGCCTGTCCGCCACCGGGGGGGATACATAGCTTTAAAGTGGCGTCCATAAAGATAGTGCTTCCAATCGTCTAGTGCCTCATGCAAAGCATAGAGCTCGCGCATACAAGTGGAAGTAACTACCTTTTCAGTGGGCATGCGTGTCTATAGTACTCGAGCAGACGCAAGCCATCGCCATCATCTTGTTGCAACACTGTGTCAATCCCATATTGGCTCCCATCTATAGTAACTACGAATGTGAGTTTGGGATCTTCAATGCGGAGCACAAGAAGATTCACCAAAGCCTCTTTCAAGGCGTAAAAGGAAGTCTCATATGCGTCATCTCACGTATAAGATACATTCTTGCTAGTAAGTCTCGACAAAGGGCGCGCAATGGTAGAGAATCAAGGAACAAATTTCCGGTAATATGACTCAAGCCAAAAAAAAAAAACCGCAGTTTATGGACATTCAAGGGTTGAGGTCACTTGCGAATGACCAACTTTGGTTGTTGCGGGCTCAAGGCCTACAACAGACAACCGATGTCCAAGATAGATGATGTTGTCCCTCCCAAACTCAGATTTCTATAAGTTGAGATGGAGCTGCGTTTTCTTGAGGATGTTCAAATCCTCCTCAAGGTGTCCTCGTGTGTTCCTCCATCGATTTGCTGAAGATTAAGATGTCATCCAGATAGACAACAACAAACCGACCGGCCTATTCATGAAGTACTTTGTCCATGAGACATTGAAAGGTGGCCGGTGCATTCGTGTGACCGAAGGGCATAACGGTAAATTCGTACAGCCCATCACGAGTCTTCAATACAGTTTTGTGCTGGTCCGCAGGATTGACTTCAATCTGGTGGTAGCCAAACTTGAGATCGATCTTGGAGAAGACCTTGCACCCAACTGCAACATCAAGAAAGTCACCAATGTGTTATTTCTTTTGATCCGATTAAGTCCAAGGTGATCAATACACATCCGGAGTTTGCCTCTTTTCTTGGGAACAAACAAGACACGTGCATCCAATGCAGATTCACTAGGCTTGATCGACCCCTTGCCAATCATGTCATTGCAGTTGTAGAGAAGCTTGCATGTCATGAATCCCACATAACGTAGTCCGGATTTCTAAAAAGTTGATATCGCAGTTCTAATAAGGCTGTTGAAAAGCAAAATGCAATCATCGTGTCGCTGCTAACCATTCATTTCCTGGTGTTGTATTTATTTGTGGGTGGAGAGGCATTGGAGTAAGGGATCTCTCACTCTCTGTTTCTCTCTCTCTCTCTCTCTCTCTCTCTCTCTCTCTCTCTCTCTCTCTCTCTCTCTCTCTCTCTCTGTGTGTGTGTGTGTGTTCTCTTTGTCTATCTCTGTGTGTGTGTTCTCTTTGTCTATCTCTGTGTGTGTGTTCTCTTTGTCTATCTTTGTCTGTCTCCGTTTGCATTGCTCTCTGCTACTCGAACTGGGAAAGAGGGAGAGGGAGTGGGTGGTTGTTTCGGCGTGCCTCTTGTTTGTGCATGAGAGGAAGGGAAGGTGAGATGAGAAGAGAGAGCATGACAGTGGTGGATGTTGTTGCTTTTGTCACCATCATTATCGTTGTCATTTTCGGTGTCATCGTGTCCAGCATTGTTATTGTTTTCATCATCACTGTCATTGTTGTTGCGGTTGTTGTTCCTTGTTGTGCTGTTATCTGCACTTTTTCCATGTGCTATTCTTTTCCTTTGTCTTCTGCTACAGGGGATGGGGAGGTCAGTGAAGAGGAGTTTTACAGGATAATGAAGAAAACTAGCCTTTTCTAGGCTTCAGCTTCAGCTTCAGCTTCAACGTCCTAGCCGATACTGCCTTCAGCTTGAAGGCCACCACACTGGCAGTCATTGTGGCTTTCTCTTTCAGTTCCTTCTCAACTGTTTCTTCAAGTGCGTCACTGTTTACAACTTACTTTCCTGTGGGCTCCTCAGTGACCTACCCATCCTCTCTCTCTCTCTCTCT